AGCAGCGAGACCCGCAGCCGAAGACTCGGACAGGAGTATGTAGATATCAAACCGTGAGACGTGTTTCGTGACTTGTGTTCTTCACCCTTCAAAATTCAGAAATGGAGTGCGGTCCCAGGCTCTTCCACCACCTCGTTGGCCAGTACCAAGACACTACAGCCTGTACCCTGGTGCCGGGCAGCCTGTTTTCTTGTCTGCACCCGATTTGCAGTCAGGTGAAGCTGTCGGACCCCATGCGCAGCACCAAGAGAAGCCCGCCAATGCTGCATGTGGAATGTAGTAATGCAGAGCGTTACTGTGAGAGTGTTGTGCAAGCAGGCATCTGCCTGATGTAGACTTGCACATGCAGTTGCTTGATGTGTAGCGACTCTTGCAGTGGGTTTCGAGACTGCCGGAAGTGAAGTCCGGGTAAATCGGGTTTTGGCTTGGGCCGAGGCAAGGCAGCCTGAGCAACTACCTCCTCCAGCAACTCGAGCGTCAGTGCGAGGACAGACGAGGGATGTGGTGGGGGTGTCGAAGACGGGAAGTGGGTGCACCTGGTGGAAACCAGGCGGGAGCCGTGCAGTAGAGTTTCATGGATTGATGTGACAGGACGAGCTTCGGAACGAGAGAGCCGGTACAGCCGGCGGGCGACTTAAGCTTGGACTTTGATGCATCAAGAGAAGTTCAAGCTGGAAAGGGCGAGCATGGCACGTGTTGAATCTCTTGATGTGCTCTGTATACCTTCATAGGGGAATCTGACACTGCACGTGATTAGGCACGGATTGCGCTCCAGCACCTGCAAAAAGGCCTGGTGGCTACATGTGGCTAATTCGCTCGCACCACGCCAGCCTTGAGGAATCGAAGGGACAGAGAGCTTCCTGGAATGACAAAGAGTTAAAAATTTCTCAGTTCCGCATCTCTTGTGCTGCTCTCTTTAAAGAGCAGCCTTAGGGCGCGGTCTTATCTTGAGGCCTTCTGAAGAGTGCCGTAGTAGAAGCGAGCCAGGCAGCGAATGACCGAAGAAGTGGGGGCGCTTACTGCGTGTCGATGAAGGCATGTATGTTTGGAGCATCGGCTTCCCCCGTTTTTTTAGCCGTCCTTAACATGTGCTTCCAAGGTCCATTCTGGCGACATGGAGTTCTCCAATGAGGCGCATGAGTCGTTTCCACTCGTCTGTAGAAGATGCCGGACACTTTTGCTATGCAAAGCTGGAAAGTATTCTCCCACAGCTACTGAGTTCAGAGCTATCAAGTCTTCAGGGCATAATCTGGTCCCACGCTGACGGAGACCTGGCAGGACTACTACGACCAGAGCGGTGACGAGGGTGGTGCAGGATCGGACGATGCTGCAGTCAGGCGCGGGCTATATTGACGAAGGCCTTGTTGCTCCTTGATTGAATGGTCGGGGAATGGCTTTTCGTCTGCTCTGCTTTGAAGCTTTGAAGAGGCAAGCACCGAATTTTCACGTCAGACAACGGCCCCAACCAGTCAGCTGCCGTCAGCGCCACGTTGAACTCCACTCTTCCTCGGGGGTTGATTTATCAGCTCAAGACCGATGCTTAAGTTGTCGTAGAGAGATTGAATATGTCCGGCGGCTGGCTCAGTAGACCTGAGCTCGTAAACACAACGCCAACTGTAATCGTTCACCGAATTCAGATGCTCGTGCCTAGGCAGAGACACACCACCAAGCACCAATCCTCTTTAAGGGACATTCGGGCACTGGCCTCACAGGCTTCAGCGCTGCATGTGCAAACTGAAAATCTCAGTAGTCCATCGATACTTCACCGTATTTTACCGCAAAATAGAAACCCTACCCTCCAGAAGCTTGTCGACACTTCTACCTCTATTAACGCCAGGCGGGCCAGATTTCTGAAAGCCATGCGGGATCGGTTTGTGGATGGCATGGAGAGGCCGGCGCCTTTTTGGGGTCCTTATAATAAGGATCCTACTGTTTAGGGTACTATATTAGGGTCATTTTGGGGTCCTTATAATAAGGATCTGAGTCGGATAGGTCGAAAGGGCTCTGGTGCTGTGGCCATCTCTGCTCAGGAATTTCAATTACGCTGCCTTGGATGAGGACTGCATCTGGGGAACCAGGGTTTCCACAGTCCTTCATTAGTTATGAGAGCCCAAACCCTAAACCCTAAACTCTAAACCCCAGTGGTGTATTGACTTTTGCCAAAAGCGCCCCGGACCTGGCGAGGACTCGGACTTGGACGACGTGGTGGAGCTTGGGAGAGATGCGGAGGAGCCCACAGCATACAAAGTGTCTCGAGGTTCTCTAGTAAAATATAATATAGTATAGTTAGTATAGTATATTACAACATAATATTATATAATATTAAAATATATTATATACTATCTCCAAGGGTGGCATATGAGATGGTACATAGCAGTAGCCATGCAGTAGGCATGGCTGCTCGCAGCTCCTCTCGCCCCATCTCCGACAGGAAAAATACTTCGATGCAGAGTGAGCGTAGCCTCTGCGAGGACCAGGCAGCTTTCCTGCTTGGAGTTTGCAAAAAGTAAGCCGCCAAGTAAACCTGATCAGCCTTGAACATCTCTCTAAGTGGACACATCTGATTCGCGTAAGCTTGGCCTTGCCTTGCCTGAATGCTTTCTGCTTCAGTGAGTGTTCTAAAATCCATCCCAGAAGCTCGCAGAAGGCGTTTTCAACCTTCGCTTGTTGGGAGGACTCGGCTTCGCAGATGGCCCTCACCTCTAGAGAACACAGAAGGGAAGGCACTCTAATTCACTCAACGGCTATCTGTGAAGAGGGTGTGTTCCGGTAGTGTCGGCCCTGGACAACAACCGGCTCAGGGTCGCGTTTGACCAGCAAAAAGGAACCGGTGCTTCCATGCTTCGAAGCCGGCATTCTGGGGGTGTGCGGCCTGCAATCCTCGGTCGGGTGATGCATGCCAGCTGCTTGTATATTTCGGGACATGTTCGGCATTTGCGGAGATTCGCATTCGACGCACTCTTCTGGTGCTCTTGGTGCGGCCTAAGCGCCGAGGTGAAAGCGATGTGAAGATGGTCTGGTGTCAGGAAAAAACGCACCACAAGAACTCGCGGCAAAATCAGCCTTTAACTACCAAAGTCAAGGTTTGAGCCAGCGATTCATATGGGCAAGACCTATACATGCCTGCAACACCCCTTTACCACCACCGTTGAGTAAATAAGTAAGGGTCACTCTAGCATGCTCCTGGGACGTGGATCCTCAGATTGCAAGAGGCTAAGAAGTGTGTCTGCGGTTGGTCAGCTCAACATCCGAAGTCGAACCTCTAAAACTGGCAAGAGCATGTGCGCCGGTTAGCCAGCTGGGTGGGGCAAGGTAAGCACAGAGCCTGCGTTGCTGTGCCTTTTGCCATTGAGGCCATCACCATAGCTTGTCTGCGGAGCTTCATCATGGATATATGATACATGAGCATGGCCGAGACAGCTCAGACAAAGCAATTGCTGAAGTCACGAGGCAACCACTCACCATGCCTGAACGGTGCATGATAAACATGGAGAGCAGCTCCCAGTCAAGTTGAGTCAGCGAGATAGCTAATTCCGTCTGCCAAAGCTGTCATGGGTGGCGGCCGTGACAAGGGCAAAGGCAAAGGCCCAGGCAGGCTGTCGAATGTGCCCGCAAATCCACAGATTCTTCGCACTCGCCTGTGCAATCATCTTTTTCAACAGGTGGCTTTTCCGGTGCGAGCAGAGTGCGGTCAAGCATTGACAAGCTCGGTTCCAAGTCGCTGTTTGTGTGACCTTGCTAGGGTCGCAGTCAGAAGGATGCAGTACTTCAGCGTGTTTTAAACACGTTCAAACTCCAACAGTGTGCGAGTTTGCTCACTGCAGGGACTGGCGCAAAGGAGGTCAGAAGGGTGCACAGAAAGGCGGCCAGTGCAGACACTCGAGCTAAGCCAATCCAATGTTCGCAGATCGGCACTTAGCAGGGAGGAGATGGAAAGACAGAGGCAGTGTGCAAATACTACAGCCCAGGGCACCTCTCTAGCAGCTTCATGTTTCATTATTCATGCTGTCAGGTCAGCACGACTGATCGATACCACGGTAATACACTGCATAGCATGACCGGCTGCATGCGAGGCTCCGGCAGGCAAGCTGCTGCTTGCAAAGACTGACACATTGTGACGAGTGCCTGGGTACAAAGTCTTCAGCTATCGCCAGGTCAACTTCTGGACTGCACTAGCACCACCCACCTTGGCACGCAATTTGAGTGTCTCTCTTCAGCAGTCTCTCAACGGTTCAGGGCGGCGGGCCGCGGTGCGACCAGGCCTGATGGGGGATTGCCGATCTGTCGAGCAGGTCAGTGTCGTCAAAGTCTTGTGACCGAGCTTCTTTAGGGTTTCGGGTGGTGAGATTCAGATTTCAGGGGCTTGGGTTTAGTTTAGGGTGGGGGTTCGAAAAGCTAGATTCAGCAGGGCTTAGAGCTTAGGGCTCAGGTGGAGAAGGTTTCAATGTTTAGGGTCAGGATCTCGACACCTTCAACTGCTTTTAGTACTTCTTTTCTGCCCTGCGGCCTCCCTTGCCAGCCGCATCCCTGACGGGCACGCCATCGCCAAACCGGCATGTTAGGGATGTTTGTAACCGTCTGGCCAGCACCTTGAGATCCACTGAACATGGATGCCAGCTCCTGGTCCAGTTTACAGACAAGATCAATGGCAAAACGTGACTTTGGCAATGGGAAGTCTTAAGTGAGGTTTCTGCTTCATCGCAGACTCTGCGAGTCTCAGAGTCTGCGAGCCCGGGCTCGTTACAGCATCCGAAGACGTAAGAGCAAGCACCTTTCTATGTTCCTTCATGTTGTGTTTCCGCATTGTAAAGTTGTTGCCCCAGGTACTCAGAGCATCCGAATGTGCCGGGCGCCTATTGCAGAACCTGTCTGTCTAGCTTGATCGCCCGTGCGTGCTGCAGAACCACCAACTTATCTCCGAATATTCCAAGTATGCGCACATTTTGATATTTTGATCCGATCGCGTGTCCCTTCTTGGCTGCATATGAAGGAGCAGTGCAATGGATGACGTATGCCAGATGTATGAGCAGGTCGCTGTCTGAGAGCTTCAATAGGTGTCGACAGCAGCCGATGGCTTGCTCTCCTGTCAACTCAGTCATAAGGTCATGAAGATGGACATGGGTGGCAGGCAGCAGGTCAAGTATACGGTGGAGGATCTCTGCCATTAGCCGAAGCCCAATGAAGCTTCCAAGCATCTTGACGTTTGCCGTTTGCAAGAGCTGAGACCTTACGGGCAAATTCCCACATGTCCCACGTGCAGGACCTTTGGTCCTTTGTCGACCGCTTGCGTGACATTGCCTGCTTGATCTACGACTCCCAGGTGCGAGCATAGTGCCTCGTGCAGCCTCGTGCAGCCGTTGGCCCACAACCAATGTGAGTCTCGAGCCTGTTCGCAGCTCTCGTAGTGCCGGTTACTGCCCTTGTCTTTGATGCGCTGCCAGGGCGGTGAGTACCTGCCACACAATCGTGAGTGGGTCAAGAACCAGGCCTGCTGCCAGTGTAGCATGTCGTGGCATCACCAAGTCATGCAAGCAGCTTCTGATTCGTGCAGGTCTTGAAGCACCTGAAGGGGCAGCTGACATGAGGCCCTCACAGCTTTACAGTATCTTGCATACCTTGCTTTACTTGTTGGAGTCGCCGAGGTCTCAGGCAGCCTCCGAGCTCACGCGCTGCACTGCTCAGCGACAGCCGGTGTGCTCTTGGAGACAAAACGCCTGCGGCACCGAGTGCAAGCAGACTTTTCAGAGTCAGCCAATCCAGAATCACTACCCCCCCGTCTCTCTCTCTCTCTGTCTCTCTCTCAGTCTCTCGCTCTCCCGCTCTCTCGCTCCCTCTCCCTCTCTCTTTGTGTCTGTCTGTTTGTCACACACGTGTATGTGAACTATTCACTGCGATCTTGAGCGCTTGGCCGCTTCAGGTTCCGTGCACGGTACCTCGCCCGCAGCCCTTTTCAGGGCTCGATACAATGAGGTTTTTTTTCCGGTACTAGAACCTATGAGAGGACTGCCGGGAGAAGGGCATCAGTTTTGAGGTGATGGGTAACTTATCCATCGTGCTTCAAAGTCGCAGTTGCTGGCAAGGAGATGCGGCCTGCACGGAAGCTGCTTTTACTACAATGCTTGTGCCCCGGGGCGTCCTTTTGCCCTGCAGAGTGATTGAAAGGGTTCCCAACTTGTGTACTCATCTGCGCCGCAGGTCTTTGGATCGTCATGGTATCTTCTGAACACGACAGGTGCTGTTGCAGAGTAGTGTTCGATTTTGCACATGCACTATGCCTTCCAGAACTCGAAAAGGAGGATAGTGAGTCGGTGAGTCTTGGGAGGACGTGCCTCATTCAGGGGCAGCTTCGACAAACTGGCAAGTGGCCTGGCAACTTTGGCATCCTTACCAAGACATATCCAAGCAGTCCAAGTAACCCATGCAGGAAGCCAGCTCGAATGCTGAGGGTGGTCGGTCTCCTCGAAGATGACGGCGCCAAAGCGGAGGCCGTACCTGCTACGCTGGTGCAGCAGACGTCGCAGTCCAGTCTGCAGGCAAGTTTCCGCCTGGGTTCTCAGTGCGTTCTGCCTTCAACTTATCTTAAATCCCATGTGAATATGATGCAATATGATGCAATTGCGAAAGACTTTGATCGACACCTTGCTGTGCGTTCGCTTTATCAGTAGCCACATCAGACAGTGCATTTCACTCGGCTTGGCATCGTAAGCGCAACTCAGTATTCACGTTCCGATTTTCAATGACTGCACGCTGTCCAGGCTGACTTCGTGCTTGTTTCCCCGATGATTTTCGAGACATTGTGCGTACCTGCACTGGCACTTGCCATAGGCCAGCGGCCACAGCATGTGCTTGCAGGTTCATCAGTCTTTCTGTTTGACCAATACAGGAGGCGCATGCTACACCCTAGGCAGCTCAGACTCACATAGCTCTACGTTGCAATGTTGCTTAGCGCCATTCATATGTACACTGACCAGTACTGCATCAAAGGAGGCTAGCAACACTGTGAGTAGGCGATACTCATGTCTCCTTGGGCTTGCTGCTGCGCACTTCTTGAGCAGGCAGTGTGCTGCAGCAGTATCCGGGGACTCAATCCTCAGGCACGAAGCTTGCACGTGAGAGTGGGAGGGTCCAGTTCCCGATGCTGCTGAGGCCTCCTGGTCTCCTTCTTCGGTGCGCAGACAGCGATGAATCTTTACATGAAGCAGGAGGGGCGGCAGGAGATTTGCTGCACAGCCAAACAGCTAACGCAGCATCGCAGCATATCGCAGCTACCCCTCCGACCTTATGTCACCGCAGTTGCGTGCTAAAGATGTGAAGGTCTTTTCCAACTTGAGGATGCCTGGTGGCTTCAAAGGCGAAGTGCAGGGGTTTGTCTGCTCAAGTTGGTCTGATTCCGAAATCTTCTTCCCCAGCAAGACGATAGAAGTGACCGCAGGCGTTCCAGCGCCCTTCGCCATCACAGCCATCCAGCAGCTGGTTAGCTTCATAGCACCCGACCTCAGACCTGACATCTGCGTGTGTCGGAGCAGGTCGAGTCTGCACTTTGTCAGCCCTGAGGTCCTGGCTGTTGGTATCTTGGTTGAAGAAGAGACTTGTTGTTGGGGTTTCAACTAGCCCTGCCTTGGGATCTGAGGATGTGATACATGCACTGTTAGCATCTTTCGAACACCTAGGCCCTAGGCGCTTGAACTATCTCAAAAATGGCGTCCGCAAGCTGGTGTGCTCAAGGAATGGAGCGCCATGTGACTTCCGACAGCTCTGACAGTTTGAAGCAGCCTTTCTTTCACGAGGCTTGTAGGAAGGAGTCCCAAGGCACTGAGGAGATGGTGTCTGCAATTGGCATCTCCAGTGTTGAGACTGTAGCTCCTCAGAGCTCACGGTCATCCCTTGAAATGCGGCAAGGCTTGCAAGCGGCGCGCTGTTTCGGCTACCAGGTGAACTGCCGCCGACTGGAAAGCCGTCGTGAGGCGCAGATGGGGGATAACTGCCCAGCACAGACTCAGAGAAAGTCAAATTAGGCAGAAGGCTTGCAGAAGGCTTGCAGTCTGCTTGATGTCAGCCTCGGGAGTCGGCTCTGAGGTGGGATGTGTGCTTCTCCTGGCACTAGCTTTTGTTGGAAACATCGGCAGCTTCGCAGCAGATGAGACGGGGGTGGCGTTCGGCTGCCGAGGCTATTGTTTCCTCTGCTGTTGCTGCTTCTATCGACTTGTGAGGTCTCAACAACTTGAGCTTGTCCATCCTGGCTTCCTGGCATTCCAAGACATTACTTAAAACACGTTTCTTGTGAAGGAACCATTGCAGTCGAGGTTTGCCGGTCGCATCCAAGGACATCTCTGTTCATCTGATCATTCGCACAGCGGGCGCTTTGGTGAACCTAGCTCTGGAGTTTGTGGCGCAGCCAATTCTCACCAAGTTTACCGGCCACGACGTCTGGTGCCAAGATTAAGATTAGGGTTGGGATGTCTGGAGCCCTCGCCTTCCTTGTGGCAGCAGGCTGTCTGCCAGACAGGCGAACAGGCATTTCGATTCACATACCGGCCCTTCAGCAACCGGGTTAATCTGTGATCAAGTACAGGCTTTTCCTGTTTTGAACATGTTTCGACAGCCACGTGCAGGCATGGAGGACGTGTCAAGTACGTAGACAAGCCCCATCTTCTGCTTGTTGTCGGAGCGAATCTTCAACTTTATTTGCATCCTAGGGACTTTTGGGGATTTGGTGCGATTTCCACTGCCTGGTAAGTCGTGTTCATGTTCAAGTCGGCTTTGGGAGTGATGGCACGATATACAAAGCAGCATGCAACTAGATTGTGATTGCAACAGTTTTTCTGGAAGATCATGGACTCAGCTGAGACAGAGTTCTGAGGCGAAATGGCCTCAAGTGAACTGTCGAGACCTGGTCCTCACGATTGTTGGGACCTTCTTCGCAGGACTCGTGGAGTCCCAGAAGCAAGCAGGGCATGCGGTGCTTAGTCCACGAATTTCGTGGTGTTTCTAGTCTAGTTCTGCAGCAAAGCCGAGATATGCAGCAAGCTTCAGAGCTTTGCTTCGGCATCCTCAGCTTCGAACTACTACGTGGGCATTGGAGTGCCTCGTCTCAGCACTGGTCCGCCAATGTGGGAGAAGACCCAGTGTTGTGCTTTGCTACACGAGCCGGACGCGGTGCAAGGTGTGCTGCCTGTCCATGGTCGCATCCGGCATTGAGCTCATAGTTGTGAGGAGCCAGTTGACTTGCAGCCTGGAAAGTACAGACTGCTCTGTGTGCATAGGCTTCTGTTTCGGTTGTTGCGTGTTGCTGCAGAAGTTAGTCGGTCAGGCTGTGCTGCATGATGTCGAGTGAAGGACGCTCAGCTCGCACCTGAAGATGAATGCGCTGGAGGCGTGGTTCTTCTCGGCAATTGTTGCTGACACGCAGCCCTGTGACACGCAGTGGGCCGGTGCTAAGGCCATCATGAACATGTCCTTGCCAGCGTCGCTCCTCCTTCTGCTGCCAGTCTTCTTCTTCCGACACTCAGCAACTTGACTCCAAGGACGTGTTCTTGGCTGTGGTGATAAACACCACCAAGTACTTGAGACGAGCTGCAGCCACAGGTGTCATGGCCGGTATCGCCTCATCTGACAGACTGGGAGGCCATGTTCTCTCTTCACAAACCCTGCTCTCCGCGACTGGCACACGCGGCTACAAAAGCGTAGAAGAACTTGTGATGTTCGCTGTTATTGATAGCTCGGAGCTGCACCCCCGCGACAGGTCATGAAGGTGGTGTGGCGGACCAGCAAATTGGGAGTTGCCTTGGGTGTCCTGGCAAGTAGTAACAAGTAGGGCGTAGCAGCGGCGCAAAGTTTGCGGCAGAACTGGACAACACTTTACTTGGGTGTTTTAGGTCTCAGGTTTGGTCCGCTTCAGGGCACCTGAGATCTACTTCTCAGATCATTGTTGCACAAAGCACCGGTCCGCCGCACCCGATCATGTAGTTCACCCTCTTAAGCCCGCAGCAGTCTTGCACATAGTTCTGCAATCCACCCTATCATCTGTCACTTGCTGGAGAAAGCCCGTTTTGTTGTGTGCTGCTGCTCTCAGGATTACTTGCACCGCCTCTGCAGGCAGCATGTGTCAGAATACTGACTGACAGCAGCCTCGCATGATAGCGCAGTACATCGTCGACACAAGTAAACTAACACCAAGCGGGATTGCAGATGTTTGCATATAGCCTGCCATTGGAGTAAACCCTTTGTAAATAGACAAGAGGAGATGCTGAGCACCTCAATTCGCGAGGTGTCCTGTCGGGTTTCTTCGCAACGCTTTACAACGCCGCTGGCTTTCATCAAAGTGTCTTCGAGGAGCTGTGTATGCTTGGGAAATCGATGTCAAAGAGGGGAAGGAACGGTGCTTGGTGTCAGTGCTCACCAGGCTGTTGCATGTTGCAGTCAGGTCATGTTGTACACACTCAGCTCCAGCTTTCAGTCGCACGTGATTTCGATGGCTGGCAACTTCAACAAGGTCTGCGGATGTCCGAAAGAGAAGCCAAACGTCATTGCTGTCTTTATCGGCCGTTCCAGCCTCCCTTGAAGGTCGCGTTGATGTTCTTGTCCATATACCTGGGCATGGAGTTGCTACCTGATCGACCTTGGGGCGAGGTGCGAAGCAGCTTCTCTGGCGGGTGGGGGTCGTTGAGATGCTGCCGTCTTTGCGAGTAAAGGCTTCTCGAGACACTGTAGAGTCTAGAGACCAGATGTGTTTCTTGGGAAACAGAGTGCTCTCTATATCTACTCTTGAGTCGTGCAGCTCCAGGTTAAAAGAGACTGAAATTGCCACGCGGCCTCACCTTCATTCGACAATACTCCCACACGGTGTAGCAGCGGCAGGTGATGATTGCTGGCATTGCTGGCAATGGGCTGCTTTGCTGAAGAGAATACACGCGAGTGACATGAAGATAGGCCAGCAGTCAGGACTGCGGAATACTGCATGCTTTGTGCAGCTCAGGGTAGCATTCATGGTGATGGGCTACTCGGAGATTTCAGTGTTTGTGCTGTCCTTCTAGAGCCTAAAGCTGCCCGCTCTTCGCCGCCCTGTCTGAGGAATCCTCAAATCGCAGGAAGCCAAGGCACAGGAGACCGCGACGTCTGCGGCCGTGAAAGCCGAAAAGTGAGGCTTCTTGGCCCAAGGGGACTCGCAAATAGAGCCGATCAAGATGCATCGCATAGCAGCGATCTCGGTGCCGCTGAGGAATTCGTTGGTAGTTAGCTCTCGAGTCATGTTGCATCGTGCACGGCTACGTGGCGAGATGCCTACTAAGCCGTTCTGGCACGGCCGAGCCACAATGCAGACGAAGGCATGCACACTTGAAGCGTGTTGTGTATCCCTTGCACCCGCCGTGGCCCTTAACCCTGACATAGCCGCAACTCCCCGCACGACATGCCTGCTTGTACGGTAGAGAAGCGGCATGCTCCGTTCGCGTAGCTTCGCTGACGTTCCCTACAACGGGTCGTGCCAGGAAGCTGTGCAAAGTGCGCCGCAAAAGACTGGAACTGCGCAGGATCCGGGAACTTGCATGCTAGGGCTTAGCGGTAGCTTCATGACCTCGGTGTGTGTGTGTGTGAGAGAGAGAGAGAGAGAGAGATTGGACTTACGAAAGAGTGATGTGCAGCTGTTTTCCCCCTTCAGAGCCTCCCTTCGAGTGTTTTGTTCTCCGCGTGAAGCAATGGCCGCGGAGCTGAAGGCAGAGGTGGAGGGCCTCGTGGCCAAGATCTCGGACAAGGCCCCTGGCATCCTGTATCCACAAGCCCCAGATGCCCGAAGAGAGCCCCGGACAGTTAGAAGTTGGAAGCCTTTCAAACAGCT